CTGGAATGGATTGCCCAGGGATGTTGTGAATGCTCCACCCTTGGCAGTGTTCAAGGCCAGGTTGGACGAGGCCTTGGGTGGCATGGTTTAGTGTGAGGTGTCCCTGCCCATGGCAGGGGGGTTGGAGCTGGATGATCTTCAGGTCCTTTCCAACCCTAACTATTCTATGATTCTATGATTAATTCTAATTAATTTGCTTATGCAATTTCTTTCCTTCTTTTGATAGTGCTAAGGCTCCATCTGCCACCAGATGTCTTTCTGCTTGACTGAGATGTTTCTGTGGTCTTTGAAGACTAACTTACATATTAAAGGTGAGCTGCTACCTGTTACCAAAACGAAACAGCAAAGCTTGTTAAGGAATGTTAAATTGATATAAAATTCTGAATGTCCAAATCAAGTGCTTTTTTACTTAGGAGAAAGAAAGAAAATTAGACAGCAAAATGGTATTTGAACTTGATCACCTTCTTCACTTATCATAGACCTGGAGCATCCTTTGAAGTGAAAAATGTTAAGATTGTATTTAATTGGATGCATTTTCCTTTTTCGGAAGCTATGCCGTACTTGACTGTAAGCTTCAGTTTAATGACTGGTTTAGGTGAATGAAGATCTATAGTCATGTGATTTGCAGAAGCATTGTGATTTATACTTAGTGTGAGCATAAAAAATTACTGCATGTTCTGGGTATTTTGTATGATTACTTGAAATTCTATACTTACAAGGTATATTTATTGTATTAATTGATTGTTCCAGGAGACACATGACTAATTACTATTATGTAGAAATCACCTTTATTCATCTTGCCTTGCTATTGCTAAAATACAATACTAAAAAACCACCCCACTAGTTTGTAAGTGTACCATATCAAACTATTATTTATGACACTTCATACCAATTATAGGGTATAATATTTTTCTTGAAATATTATTTTATTATTATTGACAATTCAGTTGAATATGAATAAATGTTTAGTTGAATGTTATTATTCAAATAGTGACTCAGTAAGTCTTGGCATCCCAAATTTGTGTCACAATTGTTCTGTTACAATACAAAAAAAAGGGCAAAAACTGTTTTATTGAAAAGTCTGATGGCTTAAACAAATACATAGTTATGATTTATTGTAATTAAAGGCACACTGTGGCCTGCTGTGCCTGTTTTCCACCTCTTACTTTCTTGCTTCCTCTCTGTACCTCATTCTAACATCCTGAGGCAGAAGGCAGTACTGCTGTCTGCCATTGCAATGCCTTCCTTCATTCCTCCATGTACGGAATGTCTCATGGTATATCACTGTCTGAGTTTAAAAGAAGACAGACGCAGTGTCCATCCCATTATTTTAAAACAATGCAACATAAAGCCATACTTAGATCTACTTGGTGAAGCTTGCCATGGCACACCTAAGTATTTACCAGTCAGGAACTGGCTGGTGTGGCTTGCAGCAAGGTAGCTGAAACATCCAAATTTCTTTGCCATGGGAGCCAGGTAGAGAATAATACCTATAGATTAAGAATATTGGATCCTTTGAAAGGGCAGCTTTATGAGTTCATGAATCTTAAGAAAATCCTATTGTCTTTAGCTCACCTGTGTCAGTCACCAGAAAACGTTTCAAATTATTCTAAGGTACACTTTTCACCATGATCCTTACCTTTCTTTGTGAACAATCATAAAAGATGCTCATTAGGAAGGTGATAAAAATACTTCTGCATGTTGGCAGCTGTAAGTGAATCAAAGTGTATGTGGAGGAAATGACAGCTCCAAACAAATATAAGGACCTGTCACATTCTCCTTCAGCCCTTGCTTGCTGGTTCTTGGAAGTCCTCCTGGTATTCAGACTATGTGCTGTAGTTTTTACGCTGTTGCTATGTTAACACCTAACACTCTTCTCCAGCTGGATGAAATTGAGATGCTGAACTTTGCATTTTAAGTTGTGTTTTGTTTCTAGTGTCACATCCATAATTAAATACATTTACATTCAATTCTATAGATGAAGATATTGGGATTCACCAGTACTACGACAAGAAAGAAGCAGGTAAAATATAAATAGCCATAACTAAAACTAAACAAAACTTCCAAATGTTCAATCTTTGTTACTGACTGCTTGCTCTGAAAAGTGCAACTTCAAATTTCTTGTTAATATATTTATATATATATAAAAATAACTATATACATATATATGTACTTTGATAGATATTGGTGTATTTCGATATATATATAGATGTATGTTGATGTATTTTGGTATATATATCGATAAATCTCGATATATTTAGGTATATATCTCTGTATTTTGGCACTGTAAGGAAACATTTTCTCTCCTAAGTTACGGCAGAGTATTTAGAAACCTTTTATTCCATAGGTGAAAAAAAAAAAAAAGAGGATATTTACATAAAAGCAACCTTTCTGCCATTGGAAACTTCAGTGGGATTCTAAACTCTAGGTTCTTGTACTGTATATTCTATTTTATGGCTGATCCAGCCCTTTCAGCCCGTTACACCGGCACCATGGTGAGGGGCGGTGCGGGCCGGGGCCGCCGCGGCGCTGCTGGGCGGCCGGCAGGGGGCGCCACGAGCGCGCTGGGCTGCAGGCCGGCTCCCACGTCCCTTCCCGGCGAGCGGAGGGGCCGCGCAGGACGAGCGATCGGTTTCCTTCATCTGGTTAATCCCGTTAATCCTGGACGTTTCCCCATGGGCCACAAGGTCTGTTCGGCTCCAGCTACAGGTCCCTCTCGGCGGCCAGGCCCGTGAGCCGAGTTCCGCGGTCAGGAGGCAGTGCCGCCGGGGCTCGGAGGCTGCAGGCTCGGTGCCGCCGGCGCACCCGCTGTGATGTACAAGCCTTTCTTTCACTGCAAGTTTAAGATATCTGCCTCTCGAGGTGAAAAAAGCAGGGCTCTCTTAAGTTTTGGTGAATTTCTGCGTTTTATCAAACCGTGTGAATCTTCTCCCTAATATTAATATTTGCTGACAGCAGTTGTAAGGATTATCATTCATCTTTTCATCTCTTCTTTCCCTCAGCATCACAGATGAAGCATGGTTACTTAGAAGAGAAGCAAAAGCAAGTGGAATGTAAGGAGATTTTCTGAGGTTCTTGTTACAGCAAAACCAAAGCATTAATTTGAATTGGTGACCCCCCTGGAAGAGCATTAAAATCGCCTCAGTCTGTTTTCAGAGTAACTTTCTACACATACCATCTGAGGCAGGCAGTCACAGAACTACATGGCACAAAACAGTTGAAAAGTTGTAATTCTTTCCTAGTGTATTTGCAATCTGTTTTTTTCTGTGTCGCTAAGCATGGTTGTGTGTGTTGGTTCTCAAATCCATTGTCAAGAGGAATCACAAAAATAATCCAGATTTTTCCTTGTGAAATTTACTCAGCAGATGAGCAATAAACATTTCTCAATCGGCTCTTGAACTGAAATACCAAGTGCTTCATACCTGAAAATTATAGCTGAAATCCTTTCGGCCAAAATCAAATTCCAGGTTAATAATCAGCTGCCTTCATAGAATGCTTCCAGCTTCGAAACATTTACACTGTTCCTGCATTACCTGGTTAAAAGCAATTTCAGTTTATGCTCGCACACAGCAATACTGTGACAGTTTAAGATTTTTACACTAGTACAACTTTTCTTTAGCTCAAGCTTTGCAACTCCTGCATGCTTACTATTGCTCAGAGCGTTGATTAAGGTTTAAACGTTATTAGATGACAACTCCAAAAAAAAACTAATTGATTTTTAGATGACTTCACAAAGTAGTATGTATGCTGGAAGTATTGCCGTAACATTTCATCTTATCATACATAATGAAAATTCACGTGGAATGGTGCGTGTGTTTGAAAGCAAAATGTGTTCCAGAAGGATAAGTTATTTGCAACACCATAAGGTTTGTTTGGAGCAGGTTGAAGCCCCAGTGGGGATGGGTATAAAAGTGCACGCAGCCATGTGGTAAATCTACACCCGCTGCGGAGGGTTGTGTGTCAGTCAGAATCAATACAGCTCTGTAAAGGTGGGGAGTTGAGAAAGGGTTATAAGTAGGGAGGAGCATAATGGATTTACATCCCTTGTGCTGTGCGTAGCATTATCTTACAGGCGTTGCCTGTGTGAAAAGAGAAGCAGGCCCAGATAAACCCCGTTATACAGAAGCCCCAATTGTTATCTTTCATACTTGTGACATGCAAAAGGAACACGAGCTACTGCACCTTGTTGTTGTAAATGCAGGGTGGCCTAGGGACAAAGCACTGTATGGCACATTTCTTAAAGAGGGTAACTGGGTAACTTTATTTACAGCTGCTGATTTGTGTATATAGGTTGGTATCTGTACAGGCAATTTCCCATTTTGCATATGTGGATAAATATTGCAATATTTATGAAGGCACCCATTGAAAATGTGATCTTACATGCCTAATTAATATTATCATAACAGTTCCACCGACGCTGGCTTCAGTCCAGTAAAATACAAAGAGAAGTTGTATGTTGGTGTGCTCTTTTGTTGATATATGAAATCCTTCATTTTTTCACTCTATAGCACTCCTATTGTAAGCTCCTTTTTGCAGAGAGGTTTAAACACAACTGTTAAGTCACTCAGTCTGGAAGTTGGCATACAAACTGACAGCTTGGAGCTCAAAACTTTTCATCAGTTTTCCTTTAAATAGGCTAGATTTTAGAAAGACAATGTGCTCTACTTTCTCATGGTTTTTATTGTATACTTATGGACAGAAAACTGCTTACTTTTAAATGATGAAATTTCACAAGTTATTAGAGCCTGATTCTCAGCCATGAAACAAACCAATTACTAGCAGCTCCAGAGGAAGCTTTGCCTCCTGGTTTCAGGATTAATGTTTTAGGCCAAAACTTTCACAATAGTTTGCTGAACATTAATAAATTTGTTAAAGGACTGTAGCAGTCATGCAGTTTCTTGTTTGCTTGACTTGGCAGATTCTTCAGACCAAATTTTCAAGAACAAATCCTATAAATAGCTATACTCCATAATACAAGTTATGGCGTTCACAATTACCTGTCGTTAATGCCTCTATATATGCATATACTCATGCATATATGTTTTAAAGACATGTTTGTGCCTGCATTTTGAAATTAGGCAATGAAATGCTAATTCAAAAGAGTAGGATCTGTTTAGGATTTGATAACTTCGATTCTAAGTTAACATACTGAATGTGGGGTGCTTTCTCATTGCAAGAACTTAGCAGCTGAGTAAGAAGCTACATCCTGAGAGCTTTGTACACAAATGCCATTGTGAAGTCACAGTCAATGTGGATATAACATGCTAACTGTCCCTACAACAGAGCCTTTCAAAAGGATGTCATTTGACAATAGAAACCAATAAAAGCCATAGCCATGTTTTCCCAATTATAGGTAAGTTTTACATTTCAGGTAACTTCTTGAAATCTTAGGTTTGTGTTTCCACAGAAAAGGAAGCTTAACTTGAAGAACTTTATTTTATAGAAATGTATATTTGTACACATACATGCACATATATACACATATGTACACAGTCACCTATATATATTTTATTTTATTTTATTTTATTTTATTTTATTTTATTTTATTTTCTAGCTAGAGATTATCCCTGGATACTGAAAAACAAGCGTACAGACAAACTGCGGGATGCACTCAAGGAGATAGAGGTATGTTTCAGAAAGTTTCAAGTACAGCAACATATTATCCGGTTTTCAAACCTCTTTCAACAGCTTTAATTTTCATAAAGATCCAACTCTCCCGGTGATGATAAATGTGCTTTTGTCTGGCAGGCTGTTCTAAAACAGCTGCATCTTTGTGTGACATGCTTCACCTATAAACTCCAAAATCAGAAGTATGTTAACTAATAGTGACAGTGTGTACTGCCAACTCCACTCTCTGTTTTCTGTTGTCCTTTAGGACCTAATGCAAAACAGTCAATGTGTGCTGAGCAAATGGAAGAACAAACATATCTGTCAGGTAAAATGTTTTGACAAGCTCTTGCAGTGTTCAGTCAGTGAAGCCAAGCAGCCATTCAGTGATAGATGCAATAATGTTAAAATGTTAACTAACATAGAAAATCATGGGTTTTCTTAAATGCGTGGGCTCTTATTACCTAAATTATAGTTATTTCAATTTCTAACCTGAAATAGATGCTACAAAACAGAAATCTGGGGTTTATCAAGAAATATTAATTAAAGGGCCCTGATTCTGTGAGATTATGATCATTATTTGGGGAAACTGAAAGCATCCTGTACCTCCAAATCACAGGTTAAGGGAGCAGTTAAAATGTACAGACAGGTCTGCAATCTGTCTTGTATTACATTTTTCTATCTTAATTATTTACATGATTGTTGCAAATCTTTTTACTCTGTGCTTGTGTAACATGGGAGGGAAGCTGTAACTGTGAGCCAGCTAGATCATTAAACAAAGTATGGAGAAAAAGATACTGTGACATGTGGCACACACGTAACTGTCTATGTAAGATCAACATATAAGTGTCCGTATATAAGTTTCATGGCTTTTCACATCCTCATTAACACAGAGCAGTAGGGTAGGTGGGAGATCTGAACATGACACATCCTTTAGCTCCTAAACCATGAGCTTGTTCTAAAAACATATGTAATTCTATATGTACGTAACGTACGTATTTTATAAGTTTCTGCACTCTACATTGTTAATGAGGAATGTGCATCATATTTGAAACTGCTTTGGCATGGGTATAGTTGTAAATATTACTAGTACTGCTTCTAAAAAGAAATTTTGTCTTACAACCTTTATGCTTTTTCAGATTTTTTTTTCTTCTAATTCAAGTGGCTACAAGTGTGTGTCAGCAGGATGAATATTAAATATTCAAGCATTATACAGCTGAAATTACAGAAATGTCTTTAAGAACAGCAGAACTTTTAGATACCTGACATGCCAAATAGTAAATAGTCTTTTTGTATCAATAATAAAGATATTATTGTCTAAGCAGCATTTGCCTACCAGATCTTATCTCTAGTAAAAGTGTACATTCATGTACAGGTTACATGGTATGTACCTGTGAATGTTAATCTTCTATAACTGATTTAAATATTAATTGTATGCTAATTTAGGTGTCTTTTTTTCCCCCCTGTTATTATTGTTCTGATTAGGTAAGGAATTTGGTTAAGAAATACTGAGTCAATTAGCCACGTGTATTCATCTGCTTCCCAGTTCGCTGTCTCTTCATTTGCTTTCCCACGCATTCTCCGTCATTTTCCTTCTCCTCCCATCTGCATCCACATGCATTTTTTACCAGTTCATATATTGAACAGTGAATTTTATCATCCTGCCTTTATAGTATAACACCTTTTATTCATTATCAATTCTGTTTAACCCCCCCCCCCTTTTTTTTTGTCATTTTGCATCCTGTGAATAGTTTCAAGCTTACATCAACAAGAAGAAGATAAATATGTTTTTGCTTATTTCTTGTACTAGATGGGAAAGAAAAGAGAGGGATGGTTTTATCTTAGTGTATTAGGTCTGGCTCTATATTGGATTGAATCGTGTAGGGGATAGCTTGATAAATTGAGTATTTTTACGGACATTTTAGATGGCTTGTATAGCCAGAGTATAACTGATAGTATAGCTTCTAACATAGCCAGTTACAGATAAAAATCTTAGTCATTTCTCTGTCCTTAACTTCTGCTTTTGGTTTCTCAGTCATAAAGCAAAATGTTTTTTTTTTTATATAACAATGGCTGATAATTGATGTCTCCAGCAGGGGTTAGAATGTTCTGCCAAAACAATTGTGTTATTCCACTTTCCATCTACCTGAAAATATAAACTCTCCAACAAATGAAAATAAAACAGAGAAAAATGAATAATTTGGGAAAGTCTAGAACAGAAAAGCTGTCTTCTCTCAGTTTTGGGTTTTTTTTTCTGCTGCTTATCTGTCTTTGAGCATTTTGAAGAAATATCTAAACTCTCCCTTTTGATAAAAATGTTCTGAAGCTTGTAGAAAGCATGTACATTTATTCTTTAGTTCTAAGTAAGAGACTGATTAAGCAGTAAGTGCTTATCACATAATGGTGTGATCTATGTCATAGCTCTTATAGCGCATGCTGTTTTGGATGGACAGCAGAGCAGCTGCTAGTGGAAAAAGAAGAGTCCATATTTGCATTAACTTTTAGGTGTAATAGAAATCAACATGGCAGACAAACAGCATGGAGAGCATGTAGGGAATTACCGTGACTTGTAATTTTCAGTGAATTGGGGAAAATCTGAGTGTATTATTTAATTTATAGTAGTTTGGGATTTTTTTAGCTCTTTTGTTTTTTAGTGCCAATACAATATAAAATTAATTTATAAAAGTTAAAATATTTAAAACTCAACAACCATCACATTTTCCAATAATTTTTCTATGTATTTGAATCTGCTGTATCTTTAGCTGAACCAAGAAGAGTTCCTTTTGTTTGTAATAACAATGTGCTATCCAAAACCCCAATGGCTGTTGTACCTTTAGCAAGACAGAACAAATGGAAAAAAATCTGAAAGGTGATACAATGATAAAAAGACTATAAAATAAAAAAAGTAGTGTGATTTCCCTCAAATTTTGTGAAAAACAAGCATAGGACTGCTGCTAGTGTGCCTTCTGGAACCTACACATCACTTTTCCTAATCCCTCACTGCTTCCTACAGCACTTCCAGCTTCTAACTAGCCCACAGGCAAAAATTGGGGGCTATAAATTTAAACATGCCTCTGCTAAAAATCAGTGTACTGTCATGTTAACTATTTGCGTGCAAATGATCAATTACACTTCATACATACGCCTCAATTAAAACCCCAGTTAGTTTGCATACAGATTATCTTGTCCATTGTATGAATGTATTTCTCAAAATTGGCTCTTATATATGAATTTACCTAGAACAACTATAATGCTGGCCCAGCTTTCTACCTTTCTTAATGTTTCATTTACACATTGGAATTTCTCCTATTACTTTTTTTTTCATACAATCAGTGCATTAGAAGTTTCATGTTTACTTCCTTGCCCATTGCAAAAAAAAAAATAATCTATTGACCTTTATTTTTGCAGTCCTAAGTATACATTCTAGCAGTAGTTAGAGCTTCTGAAACAGATGATGTGCAGTTCATGTAAACATAACCTAGACTGTACAGGGATTTTTGTCAAGGAGCTTTCTCTCCTATTTAAAAGAGCTTAGTTGGGCCCTAAAGGACCAAGGTCTTTTCTTTAACTCTATTCCTGCTCGTTCCAGTCGGATCTCAACCGACACCATTTCTGTTTGGTACTCCTGAATCCCAGCTTTGATGACCTGTGATGAGTTCCTGAAATAATCCTGTAATCTTCAACTGGTCGATGTCAAAGGAAAATAAAGAGGCCACAAAAGAAGCATGACAAAAAAAGAGACAAGAAGTCTTTACAATAAGATGCCGCTGAATTGTTCATAATTAAGTAAACAATTTACTCCTTGCCTTTCCCTGCTGAGGAGTAATAACCTAAGTAATTATTTTTATCAATATTTTTGAGTTTACTAATCTCAGCTCTGGCTGGTTCCCTTCTTCTTGGTCTCCTTCTCTAATATTTTGGAATGCTTTTAAGTTTTGCCACAAAATCATGAAATCAGTACTATGAAATGATGCCATTGGTTCAGGTTTGGTTTTACAATACAAGGTAGTAAAAATTAATGAGATCTAGCCAAAAGATTTTATTTCCAACTTTTTGTAGTTCTACATTTGCATTACGATGTAGAATTAAAACACATGCCAACACTGAATTATTTTATTGCATAAGTGCCAAGCACTAGCTGTGAATCATATCTGTTACCTGCTAATGAAAAAGATTTATATATTCTTTGCTAAATTAGTTTGATTACATTTTATTTGTGTTGCAATTTACATATGTATGTGAATGGGTTTTATGTTGCCATCATTGGCATGCTTAGAACTGGATTCTGCATTGAGATACACAGCAATATTTGCTGACGTGACTTGTTGTATCGGATACAATGCCCATCAGCAAGCTGATTTAGCAAGATTTGCGGTGACACACAGTAACACTTCTGATATCAAAATCAAGACATCCTGGCTAGAATACATGAGATGCTGGTACCCATCATAGTTACTAAGAGGAGCACAGCCCTCATACTAAATTAGTTTGGTTGCTTTTGATCAGAACCATTAATGTGTGGTTTTAGAGATTTGGAGCTAGAAGTACAAATGCATCGATTATTGTGAAACAGTAACGTGTAACAACAATAACTTCATCTGTAATAAGGCATGCAACAGTAATTATGGTAGGGTGGCTAAGAAAGCAGTCTGGAATGAAGAGGTGGGGAAAAACCCTGGGAACCTGCTTGAACAAGAAATGCTTTACAATTCTCTTCTCCTTTTGCATATTCCTTTGTCGGTTAGGCTCTGTAAGGGAAAACAGTTTGCAGCAGTATTTTTTACAGGCATATTTTCATTCTCTTCCAATTTTAATCAGATAGAAGCAAATCCTGGCTTTGCTCTGCAGGTATCTTTTTAGGTAGAAGGGCTGATAAGCAGCTAAGCTGCATGAATGAGGAGTGAAGGGCTAAGGCTTCCGAGGATAAAGGAATCCACTTAAGTACATGCTTAAGTTCCACTGGAGTCCACTGGTCATGAGCCTGTACTTAAGTCTTTTGCTTAATAAAAGGTAACTCAAATGTGTATTGGAGCGCTTTGCTATTGGGGAAGGGCTAAGTCTTCCTCTGAGTATCCGCTGTTCCTCTTACCTGTTTCTTGCTCACTGGATAACCATTTTTGGCACACAAAGTACATAATCCCTTCTATCAAAGTCTTCGCATTCAACTCTTCAATAACACAGAAATTAAGTGGCCCTTCCTTCCCAGCATGTAGAATGACCAGATGCCCAAACACTTTACTCAAATACAAGTTCAAAGGCTGTGCATGTTCTTCCAGTAGGTTTGAAATCATGCTTTCATAATTTGTTTAGGAACACCTTGAGACTGTTAAAGCTGTAGAGATGACTCTTTTGCTTTCTGTTTTTCACATTGCAGTACTTTAGTTTGAAAAATTTGTAAAGTGTTTCATTATTGCAAGTTTCTTTCCCTAATATGGTATCTGTTAGTTGGAATGATTTTGTGCTTTATGTAAATAATGCCTCTTCCATTTGTGTTTATTCCTTAGCAATGATGAGCAATTCCCTTGAGCAGTACTTTTTGGAGTTGGATCACTGTGTATTTGTGTTCAAGCCAAGTTTGCAGTCTTCCCCATTTGCTTTATATTCATTCATGCTTATGATTGGACTGCTCCCATCTACCAAAATATGAGCTTAACTATGCAAGCGTATGTATAATAGCACCTAAATCTTATTATGTAACAGTCTTTGCATAGGCTACATGGTAAAGAATTGAAATATTGACGTTTCAATTTGAACATACACGTATTTTCTCTTTTACAGAATATTTTTGATGACAGATAATACAGAATTATAGAATCATTTAGGTTGGAAAAGACCCTTAAGATCATTGTGTCCAGCCATTCAGCTAACACTACCAAGTCTACCACTAAACCATGTCCCTCAGCGCCACATCTGCAGGTCATTTTAATACCTCCAGGGATGGTGACTCAACGATGTCCCTGCTTTATTTAAGTACCTGCTTGTACCTCATGGTAAACTTTAAGAATTAGTTTTTAAAAAGCCCCTATTCTAATCCAATGGATTTTTAAAGGAAGGTGGAAGGAATACCGACCTTACATGGCCATATACTGTGTAAAGTCTCTGATTTACATTTTAAATTTAGACTACAGTTCCTAAAGGGAAGGACTTAGACCTGTAGAGCACAGGTGTATTACGAACCATGGTAAGTTACTATAGGAAAAATTGTGGAGAATAATGGGAAAGAATGTTTTACTGTAAAAATAAAGAAGGAGGGAGTGCAATGGGAGAAACAAGAAAAGACATGGAAATGATATATTATGTATAAAATATATATTTTACTGACTTTATATTATTCTGTCATGCCATACTGATAGCATAGAGAGAGATCTATGAGATAGTGAAAATACATACCATTGGTTTAATGACTAGTTTCATAGATGTAAAACAAAGCACGCCCATTACCACAGCATTTTATATTTGTATAAATGTCTCGTCATCAGACACTGGAGCAGTTTCCATAGATTTGTATTCTAGCTCTGTAACAGGTGTGATCTATGTCATTACCAGGAAATGAACATATAGGCATAAAGTGAATTTACACATTGAAATATTTAAGAGTTAAATAATCCTAATGTTATTTGTTGCTCTCAAGCCCAGAGTTTGCAGACATATGTCCATATAGCATATATGGATGGCATGGATTATATGTCAGCAGAACGACGAACATGTGGGCTCACTCCATGACACAGTCATTAAAGATCATTAACCACCTACAGATCAAACCACATTTTTTCCTGTGTTTTGTCTCTATTCCTTACATGGATGTGTGGTATATATGTCAGGTAAACCTAGAGACTACAGACAGACTCTGATTCACTTCAGTTCTTCTCCCGGATTAACTCCAGTTTATTCTTTCCCTGCAAGAAAAGGAAGCATGGAAACAACCTACCATTGCAGTAGCTTCTTCTGAGAGAAGAACATAATTCGCAAGCAAAGGTGGTGTGGAAGACACAAGCTGTAGAGTTTTTGCTGACTGCACCAGCTCTCTTGTTCGCGTATAACACTGAAGGATTTGGGGTGTTTTATCTGGCGGGATGATATTCATTCAGAAATTTAGAACTGATCTTTCTAGAGTATTTATGGAATTTTGCTTGATCATTGCTTGTGTTATATTTTGTCAGCTTCTGCATTTCAACGATCACTTTTTCAACTGCGTTCTTCAGACAGTTATGATTAGCGGTAGGACAAGGTATAATGGGTTCAAACTTAAACAGGGGAGATTTAGGTTAGATATAAGGAAGTCTGAAAATAAATTCTAGTGGTGTCTGAAATAGAAACAAAAAATACTTGTGATAGGAAATTATTTTTTTAAGAACAAATGATAATTTCCCATCCTGCCAAAATCTTACAATGCATTTGTTTGATAAATATATACAGTCAGTATTTCAATATTGCCTGTCATGTCAGATGTCCTTTAAGGTTTTGTCCTAGTAAAAATGTTAGACACAGTTACACTCATGTAGCTTTTATTACAATCTTTCAAAACTTCAATTTATACCTATGTTGAAGTTAGATTAGATAAAATCACAATTTAGTTCCAACTTGATAATTTTAAGTCCAGCAAGGTTTGACTACAGTTAGAAACATAGAATCATGAATGGTTTGGCCCCTGCCATTGACAGGGACACCTTCCAGTAGACCAGGTTGCTCAAAGCCCCATTCAGCCTGTTCTGGAACAATTCCAGGGATGGGGCAGCCACAGCTTCTCTGGGCAATCTATGCCAGCATCTCACCACCCTCATAGTGAACAATTTCTAATCTAAATCTTCCCTCTTTCAGTTTAAATCCATTCTCCCTTGTCCTGTCACTTGATGCTTTTATAAAAAGTCCCTCTCTGGATTTCTTGTAGGCCCCCTTTAGGTATTGGAAGACTGCTCTAAGGTCTCCCTGGAGCCTTCTCTTCTCCAGGCTGAAACACCCCAGCTCTCTCAGCCTGTCTTCATAGGACAGAACCACATTATTAAGAAAGCACTATCTCTCTAATAAAGCTTATTGTTTAGTCCTGCTACTGAAGTAACTTCACAAAGTTGAGTCAGCTTACAATGGAGCAGGAATTTTATGGGGTTTATTTTTTCTGTCACTGTGGTACAGCACCATTAAGTTAATATATGAATGATCAGAAATAACAAGGATAGCAAAAAGGTGATGGTTTTAATTTGTGATGATAATATAAAGACACACTTTTTTTGGGTTTTGATGCAGGCTATGCAGTTACTTCATATGGAAAAAAATCAGCTCCATGGGTGATGGATTGGCATCATCCCTTTCCTCATTCAAGACAGAATTTTGATCTCCATTTTCAACAAACTTATTTAATACATTTGGAAGCTTAGCATGCGTTTTCTTCAAGTGTTCAGCAATTGTAATTCTTGTACCTGTGTAATTCAGTGTTGTATTACATCTCTGTCTTTCATTGAAAAAGCCTTCAAAGTCCATATACGACACCTTCATATCAACGATAAGTCTTTTTTGTAATTTTGAAAATTAGATTACTACGTAATGGACAGCTGCTAACATGTACCTTGGAACGTTTCACTTTATTAATGATTCTTGATGTCTTGTTTTCTTTCTATTTGGATTTAGCTCCTCTTTCACTCAGGTATATTGGTGTCCTTAAGCCTTTCTGGGCCACAGCTGGAGAAAGTGGTGATTGACAGGACCCTGGTGGGGAAGCTCATCTCCGACACCATCAGTGATGGTAATTACAGCCACGTGCAAATCAATTGCCTACATTAACAATAGAGTAGAGAAACAGTATGTCAACAGGTAGACTAATTATTGCCACTGGGGACTTGCAAACACAGCAAGTAATTGCATGTAATGCTGTAGTTACAACCCTCAGGACTAAGAACACTTTAAGAATAATATTTAACATCAAAGTTTTCAGGCCTGTCAAATACTGAATGAGTTTCTAAAATTCAGTTTCTTACACATTTTAATCACTGTGAACCATGCCATTTGAACTTGTCATGCTTATTCCATAAATGGGACAGAATCAAACATTAGCCAAGATTAACCATGGGTAGTTATTATTAAAGTATTTACTTATTAAAATAGGCTGGATAACATTAGTTGTATAGAGGTGTTCTGACTTAGTTTCTGGATTTCCAGACTCTCACTATTGTTACTAACTAGTGACTGCTAAAAATAAGTTTCTAATTTAATGTGGAAGAAACTTATGAAAATGTACCTTTTTTCATCAGCTTAGTAATACGAGTATAGCTTTTTCAGTGTATCTCTACAGGGCTCCACTGAGAATTAAACCAGGTATCTTGACATATGCATGATCCAGAATATGGAATTTCAGTGAGAGCCAAATTATATGGGCATTATCTTCCAAATTCTTAACGAATAAACACAAATTGTGTGCTTTTAATAAGAATATATGCTATCTATCTTAACTTTGATCTTTAATAGTTTATTTTCTTCAGGCATCTATGGAATCTGGGTCTGGTTATTTAAGAAACCTACAATACTGTGTCCCTCTGATGTTATCAATGTTTTGTAGTCTTGAAGATTAATGTAATGATTTTAGTAGAATCTTTATCATGAAAAAATTTAACCCCAACCTCATTTTTTTATCAACTAATAGCATAGAACACATTTGATGTCTCGACTTCTGTTTTTCACTCTTCACCTGAATTAGTAAACTATTAATTCCATCTCAGATTTTTCTGCCCTTTGTTTCCAGCGGGAAGATTTCATACTTTCAGGTGACAAAATGTAGGAAAGCATGGAGGCTAAGTTTATACCCAAATTGGAGTTGTTTATAGGACTTAGAATACTCCATCTTTTAAAAAATATAATAAATAATAAATGCATAATTAAATTATACTTACTTTACCTTACGTTGGCTTAATGTGTCATAAAAATACTAACTAAAAAAGCCTAGAACTAAAACAATAATAAAGCAACAAATATGCTTTCCTACAGTTATACCTCTTAAACTGCTATAAATAACACTACAGAATGGCTTGTCCTTATTTTCACTTATTCAATAATTTCTTAAATTATAAGTAAGTTCTCTGTGTTTGGTAATACCTGCATCTGAAGGTGAAATAGGACTGCTTCTGTTCAGCCAACCCAGCAACCCAACCCAACCCCCAACACCAGTCATTGCAATGCATTTTTTGTTTTCATGATCAACAAAAGAAGATACTTCTGTTATCCATGCAAATAGTGTTCAAAATACAGATTTTTAAGCTGAACTATCCTTATGTGAGAACCACAACAAAAGGTGGTCCTAGAATAAATTAACTTTAATATAATTCCACATCTTTCCAAATCTATGTTGGAATTAAGGTTGTGATTATAAAGTTGGCCATAAGAAATTCAATATTTAATACAAAAAGTCCATATAAAAATAGTAGTACTTAGTTTAAGAATTGTGTATATGTAGAAATGGGTAAGGATTACAATCTGCCAAAATGATTTATGAAATGTAATTCTAACTTGAGTAGCATGTCCTGTTAATATTTGGAATAAAGATCCTATTGGGTACAAGATACATAATTATGATTGAATTTATAATTCTCCTGTCTCTAATAAAGTCATCCTGATTTTTATTATAATGGGCAATATTTTTATGATTTTTTTATTATTATTTTTCATTATGTGCAATGTTAAAAAATAATTTAATTAGAAATTATAGAAAAATTGTTTTCCTAAAAGAAACAGTATTTCTCATTTTCAAAATTATTTTGTGGCACTGAGGTGTTGCGGTGCTAGTATTTGGAATATTAACTACACTGCCTGCCTTTTTAGGGTAATCTGACTCTGCAGCATATGGGTCCTATCTGAATAATGGTCTAACTATGCCCATAGCTGCATTCATGTTGATCTAGTCTCCACTCCTGCCCAGGACAACCACAGATACTGAAAATCAAGGCAGTGCTAGTCTCATTCGCACCTGCCCAGGGATCTTTGAATCCTGTTTTCTTCCCTTCAACCAAAACCAATTTCAGAAGCAGCTGAGGTGTGCTGTAGGTCATCTCTAATGTAAACTATGTCTGTGAGGATAGCAAAATATTTTAACTGTACATATTGAGGATACCATACTCAGTGGCTTTGGATTTTCATGTGTGTTTAGGATCTCAGTTACAACTTCTAACTCACCATCTCAGATGCTTTATCACTATTTCTTTTATTCTTTTTTTTCTTTTTTAAGCTAGTGTTAGTGTTACATTTCAAAGGTAATTATTTGGCTTTAAACTTTACCCTTTAGCATTTGCATACCAGAATCTTCGGAGCTGTGCCAGTACATGACTATTAGAAATTGCAACTGGTTGTAAATCAGTCTAAATCAAAGCAAAGCTGAGTAGCAAGTTTTCAATGCTTATATGTAAGACTAAACTGTCAGTCTACTCAAGGATATGTAAAATACATTTGAGAATCTAGGATATTAGTCACAAATGCTTTTGTGTTTGTTTTGCAGGGTTGGTTGTTTTTAAATCTGGTTCCACTTGACATTTTCCTTTCAGCAGAGGTTTCTCAGTTTACTTTCTAAAAGGGCTTGCTAGCTGTACTTACACCTGATTCTCATTAACAAATCTTCAGTGACCTAGTGCTAGTAGCCCTGATGACTCACTTCGTTCTCAGACATCTCTTTAAATGCAGACCTAATATTGCTTGCGTAAAATGCAGGCATAATACTGCCTGAATAACTGGATAACACTTGGGAAAAAATCTTAGATAATATTGTCTAATTAATTTTCATTGTCAAATTAGTTAATCACTTTTATATTGAACTGGTTTGGTCTAGCACCCGCTTGTGATAACAGCGGGGATTCCACTGCGCTTTTCCACACTCCAGGGGAGTCTGTTCCATCTTGGTTTCCTGCATTGTTCGGATACCCCCATGTGAGGTTTTCAGCAAACTCATAACCCCTCTGAAGTATAATCCTGTATGTAACAGTTTCCTCGGTGTCTGCAACAGCATCTGGAACCTTACGATGTCAAAATACCAGATACCTCTCAAATACTAATTTGCATTTATCATCCTTAACAGAAGTTACGCTGTATATGATGCATTTCTGACAAACTGGTGGGTGTTACCATAAGGAGAAGAAGAAAAAAAACCCAACGTTGAAAGCTGAACTGAGATGAAAATCAATGCGGAGGGCATAAAACATATATTTGAATGTAGTGGTAACTTGATAGGAGATAATTTATTCATGTTTATGTAATCGGAGTACTCCCTAGGCTTTATTTCTCATTTCCAAGAAGGTCCTGGCAGGATGACACATTGATGCCTTTTAGGAGATTACAGAGGCTTCAGTGTAATATTTAAGACACTGTCTTGAAAAAATTGCTTTTTGCAGTGTCTCAGTGGAGGGTTCAGTAATTTGTTTTGCTACTAGAAACAGGTGTTACAGTGGTGATGGTTTTTATTTGTTTTTCAGCGGTTCTTACAGATGGTTTCATCCTCTTGTCATTCGAGGACCATAACCAACTCTGTTTTATTCAGTTTACAAAGAAAATGGATTCTCCTGATGTAAACAAAAGACTGGAAAAACTCTCTTGTTTGGACTTCAAGGTATCGCTGTCAATGGTGACTGTAAACACTGCAGTAACTTTACGATTACAGACCTTCCTGTAACTGACTAGAATAGCTTAAATTCCAAAACTGGCAGGTACTGAAAAGTAAAGAAAAATTACATGGGATTCTGAATTAATGAGTTAAAATACTGTGCCAAGAGGGATCCAATTTTCTACTGTATTTAGGTTAAGGGCTCAGACACACTGTTGAGTTACCCCTGCTCAACAGATTACCTTGTGTCAGTTGAGCAGCGGTAACTCACCTTTTGCACATTCTCAGCATCTAACAAGCATGAAGCAAAATCTGTAATGGTAAACCTCAGTGTAAAAGATTTAAGCTAATGTGTTTTACCTCTTGTTTGCTGTGGGCTAGAAACACATGCATGGTCAATTACTATGTCTCAGCTGATATACATGAACTCATGAAGCTATGATAATTCAGTCATCTGTATGAGCTCCAAGACTGTTGTAATTCTTTGCAGAAATCTTAATTTTCCATCTAGTTACAGTAATCATATTGTTGTGAGAGTTGGTTTTACAATTAAGCCACTGAGCGAGGACTCAAGGTACATAAGCTTTCTCACCTCTGAAAAACTCTGTATGTGACCTTAGGCAAGTGACTTGGTGCGTCTATATCTCAATTCAGTACTAACACAGTGAAGATTAAAATACTTCTTTTTTCCAGCCCTTTATGTATGGGTGTGTCAGTCACAGCAGTTGCTGAAAAACACTCTAGAGATAGCTGAGCTGCCTTTAAACTACCTTGTTTGGATCTCAGTAGACCCAGCTTGTCTCAAGCTGAATTACCCTGTGTCTTGGATGGTTTGGGCTCTGTGGACATAACTTATTTTGACCATAAATTCTTTGGCATCAGGGCAGTGGCTTGGCACTATGATAATATGAGAAAAAATAGTTGGCCAAAGGCAATTAACTTTGAACAAACAGGGTAGGAAAGGAGCTGCATCCAGTTCACTGCAAGAATGAAGAAGAGACAAGCCTTCACCCAGGAAAGTTAGAAAGATGTAGTGAGCTAAAGAGAGAGTTTGTATTTATTTCAGCCTGAATAAATGTTAAGGAAAACAATCTTGTGCTAGAAAATAGCAAATATTTTTCCCTTGACAACCCTTCAGTAATTTGCTTCCTTACATATGGGAGTTTGCATCTTCAAGGCAGGCTTTTTTAAGGATGTGTTTCATTTAAGTTTTGCCATAATACATTTTAACTTGCTTGGTAGAAATATTTTCTGCTAGGATGAATATCTAATCCATTTTCCAGGCTGTTTCAGTTCAGGGCCTCTTTTCAGCAATGACTTGTGTTTGCGAGATTGATCCAACCTCTATAACGTGGATTTGAGACAGTTCACTGTTCACCAGGAACTGAGCTGATACGTAGTTTACTTTAAAATGATGTGCGCTTGTGCCTGGTCTATGGTGTTTGTTAAGGTTGTGCTTTAGAAGCAAGTATGGTCTGTGGTGTGGGTTGGTTTTTTAATAGCACTAAACTTCATTGAAGATGTGGTGAGCTGGAGACTGCCTTCGTCATTTAACTGTGAGGGCCATAGCTCCTTAATTTATGTAAGAAAACTCTTTTTCTAAGGAAACATTTTCATTCTGAGCGTTGCTGGGCACATTTTGGATCTAATGGTTATGGCACTTTTGCTTGGGAAAGAAGGAAATCCTAATCCATAGAAAACTCTCTGCCCTAGGAAACCAGAAATATCTGCTGCGCTCCTTAATAGGGTTGTTATGTTCAGTTCTTTGCTGACACAGCTGAGCTTCTCAAAATGCCTCCATGTTCGATGTAAACTTTGCTTTCTCTTGAAATCAGTGGGAATCACTGTGCATTATTTCTTTGCCAGCCAAAAAAAATGCATTTGCATTTTTTAATTGAATGTTCCTTTGTGTGAGGCTTGCTAGTTATGCAGCTAAGTAAAAAATTTATTATCTTCAAAACTGCACCAGTGTGTGCCAGCAGAAAGTATTATTCACTACTGCACTGGAGTTCTTCCTGGCTAGTTTTGGTCAAACTTGTAAGCTAAAAGAACAGACACAGTCAACACTAGTATTGTTATCAATAGTAACAAAAGAAGCAAAAGATGGTCATCAGTTGCAAATGTGCAAACTTGTATGTGCTCTCTTTAGGACAAATGGTTCATTAGTATTTTTGTTTTTTTTTTTCCCAGAGAAATTTAATTAAAAGCTAACTTGCACTGCCATGGGATCAAAATCTGGAGCTAAGATTCAGGAAGTTTGGGTGTAGCTTTCATTTCTGCCTCTGACTTTTGGTGTATTTCTGAGAATGTATGTAGTATTTGCATTTAAATTCCCATTTCTAAAATAAGGAAAATGTTTGCTTACAATCATATCCAGTGATATAATTAAATTTCTGTCATATTAACCTTAAAATTTCTTTGGTACCTGCACAGAAGCAACTCCACATTGTGAGAAGTCCAGCCTTATGGTGGAAAAATTGTCAGGGAATGCCAGGCAGTACTGGACTGCCAGTATGCTGTTATTAATAAGAACAGGTCAACCATGCTTTTCTCCTCACAGTTTGATATTTATCCAGAAGTTGAGGGGTTTTTATACAATAGGTACCTAAATGGAAGAACTATTTTCTCTATTTTTGTCCTTTCTAAGAGATACCACCTTGGATTTTATTTACACTTTGAAAAAATAAAGGAAGATTTGGAATTGCTACAGTCTTGAAGACCGGCAAAGTATAAAAATAACTGGTTTTGTTTGCCTTTTCTTAGTGGCATTAGTCCATGTCTGAAAGTGCCTTGTGTAATGCAAGACATAAAGTTTTATGAAAGATTTTTGGCTATTTTTACATGTGAAATTGTTACGAGCAATTAACACTGCAATATGGGATTAGTTAATACCTGTGGAAGATTTTGTGGTTTTTCACCGTAATAAATTTGGTGTCTTGTCACCAATTTATATAGTTCTAATTGAAGGATCAGCTACCTGTTAACTTTAATGTATCTTTACAATTCTATGTATTTTGACAAGTAAGCCACAGAATATTCTGAAAATATTGACCTTTTGGAAGTTTTTCCCATCTGTGTGTTTTTAATCCATTTCAATTTACTGAAGGAGGAGGCAGTACAAGGAGTTAAATGTTTACCATGAGAGAACAACATTGGTAATTACTTTGATTTCAGTTCCTTTTGATGTGTATTCAGGGGATGAAGAGGTCAATAATATTATGACCATGCAAATAGAAAAGGGTTCTTTTTGACCATATAAAAAACAGCAAAGGATTATTAAAGCATTAACCTTGATTTTAATGGCCTTGGTTGAGTGGTGAGATCACAATTTGGATGAGCCTGATTATTTACTAAATACAATACATAAATGCAACGGGTTCTTAACACCCATTGCACTCTGGCATTATCGCATTACTGCCATCCTTTGTTGCCTTGCAGACAGGAATATGAAAGCAATCTGTCATGTAGTGAGACTGGCTCCAGAAGCATTTCTCTGATAAGAAGACCCCCTGCCCTTTGCTAGTGTCTGGTCCAGTAGGCTTAGCCATGCGCTTAATCCCCAGAAAGTGGTTCGATTATTGCTGACCAGCAATGGCAAGATAGTTTTTTTTTTTACCCTAGCTATCAACCTTCCATTAATTCCTTAAGCAGAAATGCAGTGCAATCTATATTTCCTTGGCATGTGTCACCCAGATGGTGCACTGCTCATGTTTTCAAATAACCATGCTCCAAAATAACAGAGTTTGAATAATAAATTCCACAAATCCTTCCTGAGAAAGAGGCACAATTCTCAAGAGCTGCATAAACTTTACGCATGATGCTGTAGCTCATCCACATTATGCAGAAAAGTATATATTCTCTTGCAAAGCCGATGTTTGTATCCGGATTCCTTAATTTAAGGAGGAAAAAGAAAGATATATGTTTGCTCAAATACTGTAGAATATATTTAATATTTGATTATGTCTTAGACATTAGCCTTAGCTCCCTGGTCAGCTTTGCAGAACTTGTCATTTAATATGGCTAAGCTTAAATCCTGTGTGTAGGTCGATGCTGTCAAGCAACCATGACTGTACATTTTGGTATTGATTGGAGTCATTGCAGTAAATTCCTTCTTAACTCACATTCCTTTCCTTCCCAATCCTCTCCCCATAGATAAAAGTGTGAGCATGTCTTTTTCTGTCTGAAGGGATACTTTTTACATTTACAGACAGCCCATATAAATATATATGTACGCAGCCCTCTGTGTATAAATACATTCACTTCCACACATCCAAACTAAATGCTCCCAATTGCTCCTACTATGCTATTTTATTACCTCAAATATTTTCTGCATTTTTTCTTCCATCAGATTTCTTATATTGATATACTTGGACCAGAAGGTAGAAGGATGAAACGTCACCTGGCAATAAATTGTATGCAAGATACCGTCATTTGCTGGTGGTCAGCAACTAGTGAAGGAGCATGGCCTTGGTCTCCTATTTCCTGTGAGAGGGACAGAGCCAACCTATTGCTATTAGGCTGTGCACATGGCAAATTGGAGGTAAAGTGCTGAACTCGTTACGTGATTTTTCAGATTTGCTGAGGAAATGTGACTTAAATGCATAATCAGGTAGATATAAAGAACAGATATATCCAAAACAAAGAAAGATCAGCCATCCTAATCTTAAAAGCAGAGGTTTGTGATTTGATGAAAAAAGTACTTCAGTTAGTATGTTTGCTATTTTCACATCAAAACTGTCAATCTGAGAAATGTAGCAAGGAAGTTAAGTCTTTATAATGCAATATCTAATGGAGCTGCTAACACTGAGAATAGAAATGTGAAAGTACCACTAGAAAACTCTGAGTTACAAACTGTGGCTGTTGCATGATTGTCTAATGCAGTTATTTTACGTTGTATGCGGTGTTAACTGATAGGCATTTCACATCTATTTTAAGTGTTCTGTCATAAAATTTTAGCTACACCAAGATGCTGCTAAAATTGTTGCTATGAGTACTGATGAAATCAGGGACCAATTTTTTCTTGAAGAAAAAGTTAAAATTCCCCATCTACAGGTGGGAATGTGAGCTACAAGTTAGACCGAGACTACAAGCTGACCCTCTTCCTGACACTGGCTTAGATTACAATTTTAGGCATTTTTCCGTTCCATTTAATCTATTTCAGTTTTATTTTATTTATTTAAGGCTATTTTAATCCAGTTTCTTATATTAGGTAAAAACTCTGAAAAGAGCTGGAGCCTGAACTTACAATGTAAAAGCTATTCTGAGCTATCATCTTGTATAGGTGCTTCTGTATTTGGAGTTTTATTGTCAGTTTAGCTTAAGACACCACTAATTTGGACTAAAAAGGCACTCACTGTGGGAGAAGAGCACAAACCTGAGGATCAGCTGTGGAATAGCTGTTCTGGAGTAGCTATTACAGGATATTTCCCTCTAGGGAAAAGCCCTAAGTAACACTTTACAATAAGCTGCTCTTACAAACAACATCATGTTCTTTTTAATTAGGAAAGATATAAATGTTTTAATGTCTTGGAATTGTTACTTTGATAACTAATACTAATTTCAGTGAGGGTATCTTTCCCTTGAGATTTTCTATGTATTGAAAGCAATAAAGACGAAGCAGTTGAGACAGCTTTTCTTTCTTATTTCAGTCATTAGTCACTGTAGAATTTAAGTTTAAATTACCTCCAGTTCTGCCTTCTTTACTTCTTTTCAATTGACCTCTCTCCACTAGCGGTCATCTTTGACTCATCTTTCTCTTCTGCCTGATACACACCTGCAGTTCTCAATTTCCCCTGCAGCTATGCCCAATCACATATAAAAATTACTCTGGTAGCTAAAACATGTGCCTGTTCATTGTAAGCTCTTTCAGCCTAGTCCTTGTGCCAGTTTGATGCTCTGAAACTTTATCCTACTAACATTTCAGATCTTACTTCTTACTGTGATTTCCATATGCCCGGGTTCTGGCAGCAACATTCCCATGGCTTTTGTTTCCTTCTCACATATTCCAGAAAGCTCCCTAATGTCAAACAGAGCAGTTTGCAATCTCTATTTTCCAAGAGGTTTTCTAGGCACTCATTTTGTCTAAGGAATTAATGGAAAGAAATTTATCGCAACCACCCTGTTAGTTTAAAGCTTTCTCTGTTTCATTTTTATATATTACAAAGAGATTTCCAAGTTACAGCATTGTTCTGCATCTTTCAATAGACATTTCTGGTTTAGACTCTTAAATTGCTCAGGGCTGAGGCATAGTGTAGTCCCAGGCACATCACTGGTGCTTAACACAGTAAAGATAATAAGCATTTACTGAGGCTTTAGGCCTAAACTCATAACCCTTTTAATTTAGCCTATATTGCAATATATATATAAGAAAATTATTTTTAAAAGTAGAACTGCCAAATTTAACTGTTTGGTTGCTTTCCCTTTTCTGATTCTTTGCCTGTACTTGTCTGTTTTAATTCTCAGATCTTCAAATGAAATTTATTTTTCTCTATTTGTCAGTAAAATACTAAGCATTCTGCCAGGGCTATGGAAAACTTAGTCATGCATAGATAACAAACTGTCTTGCTGGTTGTCAGTTTAGTCTGTTCCATGAGATCTTGGATGCTCAGTGGGCTGCTGTGTAAGGCTTAAGACACTCTGCCTCTACACTTCTCCTATGTATCCATGAAATGTTACCTACGGTAGTGTTGGTTGGGTTTTTCTCCTTGATTTCTCTAGCGCTCCTTATACAAGTAGTTAAATTCCTGTGCATGGATAGGGGATGTCATAACCCAGCAGCTCTAGAAGTAGCATCAATCCCCAATCTGCAATTAGCCAAGGTATATTTTTCCCCTACAGTGTCTTGGAGGGGAATTAACTTAACTTTAACTTCTGAGGGTCATTTGGTAGTGTAAATCTGAGCAAAAATGTTAGCATTTCTGGAGAGGTTCTTAACAGTTACTCTATAGATCAGATACCACAAAAATGCAGTGTTTCTAAGCATGCTTATTTGCCTTTCTTTGGCTCTATTCCCTTACCATTTGTAGTGTTCCTCAAGTATAGACCTGGCATAAAAACATGAAATGCCATTGTTACGCATAAAAATAAATTCATATTTATCATATTTGACCAATAATATGCATTTTCTCCCAGTAAATTATTATTGTCAACAGAAGAAAAGTGAGAAGCATGAGCTCATTCATTTTGGAGCATTTATCAAAAACAAGTGTAATGAAATGATACCACCAATACTACTTGAAAATAGTAGTATTGCTTGGCTAAAACAGCATTATTATCTAGAATTAAGAGAAAAGCAGGAATTGCTGAATGTCTAGCCTATAAAGAGCTGTTTGGCATATTAGGCTTTTAAAAAACAAATCCAAGCCCAAGGAAATGAATGGGTGCTGCCCACAGCTGTTCTACAGCACTTTGGTGCTGACCTACAAAACCACAACAGGTCAGCCAGCTACTGACGCTCTTCTTGTGGCAGAGCAAGGGTAAATGGGGCTCTTAGGTGATGCTGTTTCCTTCCTGGAGGAATTTTCTCAGTGATATTTGCTGCCCACCAGAAGAGTGCTTATTAGAATGAAGACTGGAATAGCTCTGGGACTAAGCGACTCAACCCCTCATCACGATAATATCCTGTAACTATGCATTCTGCATTGGGATGACTGCACATACCATGATTGGCTACTGTGTACTTAAGCAGGTTTTCAACTTAATTGAGGAAATACATTTTATATTTTAAATACACTATAAATTTTATTTGAATTTTGTTGTGTGGCTTTATTCTTTAACATTTGCTAGTATTAAGGCTAAAGGTAGACATTATTCCTCTAAAACCAGAAAGAACTTTTTTCCTTGCAAATCTTGACTTGGTTTACTCTGTATTTTTTTTAAGATCGGTGTTTACTGTGTTGAATGTTCTAAGATTTGATGAGGAATCATCACTTGAAGAAACAAAAGTGTTTTTAACATTTGACTTTGGTGTGCAATGTACATTTATACACACGCATGCATGTTGCTGCAGGAGTGTTGGTCTATTGAACCTTTTTCTGCTTTCTTGCATGCATTGGTTTCCTCCAGTAAACTCATCCTTTCTCCAATTTATTTATTTAAGTATTGGGGGTTTGTATGTTTCTTCTTTGTTAAAGTGACAATGATCAAGGGTGTTATTTGAATTGTCACCCTGCAGAGATAATGCTGGTAATTTGATTTCAAAACCGGAAGAGGAATCTTCCAGAAATCATTTCAAACAATTTGCTATGAATAAATAGGATCTGATGTGAAATCATCCTTGGATTAAATGCTTTGATAGAAAGTTGTGTTAAAATCAACATGAACTTTATTCTGCAAATGTAAATTAACAGGAGGTGATGATGCCAGGGCTCAGTTATTGTAGTACTTGCATTTGTCTTTGCCATGTTTATTTTCACTCTGTTTAGTGCTGGTAAGAATCACTGAAATTATACTTCAATCTTGTGGAAAAAAAATAACTTGCCTGAGAGAGAATGCTATTTTTCTTTCTCCCAAGAGCTAATATTTAATAGTTATTGCTTCCACATTGTGCCTCAAACTTGTGAAATAAACACAGCAGATCTTTTATGAGTGAGCTATCCTACAATTACTGTAGCACTCAGGAAAACATCTACCGTGTGTGACTGAATAGCTGAAATACCTCTCACACACATCACAAAGAATGTAAAATGCTTCATGTCACATTGGGTTCAAAGTCCAATGAATAATATGGGATAAAGATGATGATGATAAATTTTAAAAGAAAAGAATAAATGCTCACTGAAGATCAGTCAGCAAGTTTGCACGTGGGCAGTAAATAAAATGCAGCCAAGTAGGTAACCTAGAGTAGGAGCCTTGCATTTTTATTGTAGAAACGTTTTAAAATAGGATTGTTTTTTTATTCCATCTTCACAGTGCTGTACTTAAAGCAATTTTACTAGTGTGTACTACACTTCCCACTCTATGTTTCTAATTAAAGTGTTTGTTGTTGTTTAGAGCCTCACCCTGTGAAATTAAATAAGCATTTTTCTAACATCCATAAAATAAATCAAAGATTTTTCTCATCTGAAAGACACACAATTCAGTCTCAGCAAGCTTATTTCTCTGTTTCTTTTGTTTTCTTTTTTTATCTGCTGGTAAGCCAATTTTCTGCTTAAGAACTACTGGTTAAAACTCTTACTTGTTTTGATATGTGGACTTTATCCTTTCCCAGCACTCTATGCAAAATACTTCAATTTTAAGTGTTCAGAGGTTTTTGCTGAGAAGAGTGATACTGCCCAAATGAGCTTGTGCTATTATTTCTTTCAAACAAAATGAAAGAAAGTATTTTAACTAGCATAATTCAGACCCTTATTTATGCAGATTAACAGATTTCTTTACTTGGACTGTTATGATTTCTGACTCTAGGATTTGAGAACTTGGTGCGTATAGTATCCCTCCCACTGCTGATTAGCTGATGCAGAGCACAGGCCAGTAGTGCAAGGGGAAAAACAGTATAAATGTGCAGTAGTGATGTATGACTGCCATGTTAATAAGGGAATGACATGAATTATGTCAAAAAAGTTTAAATACATTTACTATGGTTTTGTAGCATACATGTCACAAAACTTAAAGGGACTTTAATTTTTTCTTTATTATTGCTTGATTTATTACTTTACAGAAAGTAATTGGTTTTACTTCATGCAAAGTATTTCCAGAAATCTCTGCTTGAAACCAAGGCTAAGCGCTTAGTCCAAGATTTATGGAAAGCGCTTAATACTGAACAGATTATACACCCCACCATGTGATATTTCAGCTTTGTCTTTTAACATTCCTTGTCCTGTCCCCTCCTCCACAAATCCTCCTGTTGTCTTACCCACTTCTGAGGGAACTCCTCCAGCTTTTGCCTCCCTATTCCCCACGTGAATGTTTTGTTAAATTAAAGATAAATTGCTATTTTAACATTCCCCTTTTGGATTCCAGAGATCTACTGCTCACCGGCAAGGAATCCCAGTGGATTCCTTTTAAAGAACTGCTAAAGCACTGTTTACTAGCACGTGGCAGGTAATGGAGTACTATCTTCTTGGGAAGGGAAAGAGAAAAAAAAGATGTTTTGATTGTTAGACTTCTTATCTTTAAAAAGTATTATCTTAGTCTTATTAATATGTTTCTGTAGTTGTATGTCTCTCCTTTACTTTTACAGTTATCACCATGAAAAATTAATAATGAAAGTAATTTCTGACAGAGAAACTCAAATCTTCCCTCTCAGATGAAAAAGAACATCCATTTTTTTTCCCCTTCAGAGTGCCAAATACCAGTTACACTCAGCAAAACTGGAAACCAGAACAAAGAGGTCTCTCGGCTTGGTACTCTTCCTCCAAGAGGCACATGAGGCCACTGATGCATGAGAAAAAGCTTATCTGTTCCAATCTAAGGAGAAATGTTTCTCTCATTTTCAGCCAGAATATGAGCAGTAGTGTCTAGAAAAGATTCCTTTAAGCCTAATTTGTTTAAACAGTATGTGAAAAATTGCATTTTGAAATGCAGCAAATTGTCTTTCTCTCGTCGCAGGAGCTTTTTCCTCGCTTAGTATTGCATTATATACAACAACCAGCTCTACCCTAGACCTCATTTCAAGGATTTGCTGTCAAAATTAAGTGAAGCTAGGAAGCTTCTCATCTCAAGTCTCATTAAATTAGCATTCCAAAATATAAGGTTTTACTTTCTTTTAAATTCAAAGTAGTGAGCAACATTTTGTCCCACTTTTGCTCTAACAAGGCGGAACAAAATTATTAATTGGATTCAGTTTGCTTGCTGACTCTCAAACGATCAGAAGACAACATTTATTTTTCTGTAGGTATTTCCATTGCTGTTTTCCAGCAGTCACTCCTATGGAGTTGTAAAATCCATGTTTCACGTGTTTTCTTCTGTATTGTTTTAACTTTCAAGGCCAGTCTCTCTTCAGAATTTAGTAGTGCTTTCTTTTATCTCTATCTCTCTCTATCTTTCTTTTGTCTCTCAATGGCTTGATCATTGTGTGGATCTTCATGACTTTCTTGTAGTTTGTGAGGAGATGTCCAGAGAGGAGAACTGGTTTTGGATCAAAATATGTAGATGAATAATGCAGTGCATTGAAATCTGCCACAGGAAGACAGAAACCTGAGTCCCAGAGGGCCTCAAGGCTCATTTCACTGAAGTTATGGAAGCTTTGAAGACTTGCTTGGGCAGATTTCTATTTCACATATTTGAAAGGCAGCTACATGGGTCTCCGTACATACTCTTAGGGAAAACTGAATAACAAACAATAACACTTTACCTTGTCTTTATTTGGGGTTAGAGAGCTCTGTGGTCACAGTGATCCTTTGTCCACAATGACCTCTTGTAGGTTTCCTTGCAATTCCTATGCGCTTTAACACCCTAATAAACTGTACATTTGAGCAGTTCTAGCATCTGCACAGTAGCCACTGCACATTTTGTGGGCATAAAAGACTAGTTGCAGAGGCTAAGTCACTGATGAAGGAATGGTCGAGGTGAGGAAATGTTTTTCAAACTCTACCTTAATTTAATCTTTTCTTTCCTCTTTGGTATGTATTTTCATTGATGACTACTCTGTTGAAACTGGTTTTCACAGGCTGGATGCATTGGCATGTATTATATTGCATGTATTACATGTTTTTGCATCAAGGGCTTCTTTGTATGTCTCTAACCTAAAGTAGCAAAGACTTGTATTAACCAGCAGCTGGTTTGCAGCCACAGAACTGCGATAATCCTTTTTTCTTTCTTTTGAATGAGAAACCCTTTAGCTGACAAAATTGTCAGAAGAAAACAGCCTAATCAGTCTGATCAGCATTCCGAATAACGTGTTTATAGATTCATCAGTTGCTTCTGAAGATTTAATGGGTGGTATGCCAAACAAAAATCTCAATTTCTTATTCTCCTTCTTTGCAGAATGAAAGCCTAAATTATGTGTTCAGTTGGTCTTGTGATCTGTGAAAATCTGCTTTAACGTCATGTGTGCATTTCTGTTTTCAACCTGAAATTTCCAAGTTTCCTCCCTCACCCTCTCTCTGCCTTTTAATCACATTTGTTACCCCTTTTGGTGTATATACTACTTGCATACCACCTGGATTCAAAAGAAGGAGCTTCCAGAATTAGTGGCAGGTCAGCAGCTTCAGTTTGCAGTGCGAAGAATGCTGTGGGTATACCTGAGGGTGGGGTTTGGCTCAGTTTGACATTTTCCTTTCACTCTTTATTTCTGCATGAACAAATACCAGCAAGTTTCTGACTGAGTTCCACTGCTCTCATTTTTCTAGAGACATCCGTTTTCTCTTTCTTTCAAAGAAAAAGCTTTTCATAAGCTATTTGCAACTTGTTTACAACTGGTATTTATCCTACAGTTTCCCTGCTCAAATCCTTTATAGCACCTCTCACTCAAACCCTTATATTGAAGGACGTGAATCTTCATTGGTTCCACTGTTGCCTCTATCACTTTATGGTACTTCCCATGTTTCCACACTTCAAATTCTTGCTCTTCGCCAGCTGCTGTCTTTGTATTATATTCTGCCTCTGTGTTCTTCTTCCAGTTCATTCAGCCTTCAAGTACCCCTAAATGGTCCCCCTTTCTTGCTATCACAAATTCATTTATTCTGCATCTGAAGCTATATGGCACCAAAGAACATCTACCACCTACTCATTTGGCAGTGTATAGTATACATTGTTTAAACATGCCATTGTTTCTACCACTACAGTGTAGTATTTTCTGTTACCATGGCCTAGAGTAAATGATCAGAAAACCTCTACATGTGATACTCAAAGTAACCTATTATAAATTTTTCCAGAAAATTTATAACCTACTGTAAATTTTTCCAGAAAACTTCCAGAAGATTTCTCCCCAACCCACTTGCAAATAATCAGTTATTATTTTCTATCAATCACTTGCTGATTTTTCCTCTTTCCAGCACTGTTAGGACCATTGCATCATTTATCCTCTATTCTGCTAAACTATTGTATACTCTGGACAAACAAATCTAGCTCAAACTATATTGCAGGGTTTTTTTCATCAAAGGAATTAACCTTTTAAAAGTTAAGACAGTAGATTTTACAACTCTAATTTCTGAAATGCTTGTTTGTTTTCGCTTACTGACCCATGAGAAAGCGTATTTGTGGCAGTCTGTTTTTAAATCATCAAAGTAAGAATACATTGTTAAAAATATGACTAAAAATGATTTGGATTTTTTTTTAGGTTCTGAGTTACGTGCGTACAGAATGGGATCCACTCGATGCAAGCTTCAGCACTAATCAGCCTTATCAGGTTTACACAGTGGAGCACTCCCTCTCTGCAGACAAAGAGCCCATGGCTGACAGTTGCATCTACAAGCGTGTTAGGAACAAAATGCAGTGTGTGGCAGTTACCAGAATACCACTACGATCCAAGGCCATCAGCTGTTGCAGAGATGTTACAGAAGACAAACTAGTCCTGGGTTGTGAAGATTCATCAGTAATTCTGTATGAAGCCTACAACCAAGTGACTCTGTTAGCCCAAGCAGAACTGCTGCCTGCTTTAATAACCTACCACCCTTCCGGAGCCATATTCATGGTTGGCAGCTCTCAAGGGGAGCTCCAACTTTTTGACACAGCACTGTCCCCAATTAAAATTCAGCTCTTGGCACAAGATTATTCACCTGAGGCAACTCTGCAATTCAGTAAACACTTTGACGTACCTAGCAGCCTCATCCAGATCCAGTGGGCCGCTCCTCAAGTTGCCCCGGCCAGCACTGACAGCACAAATATTCATGATCTTTTGTTAGTTAGATTTGACAAAGGACCCTTAGGAGTACTTCACTTTAAACTTGGTAAGTTATTGAGCACATCTATTGAACCTTGAGCTCTCAAGATATCTCAAGATCTGTAGATGTTTCCTTACAAGAAACATCTGTACATCAAAAGCACCCTCATTTTAGATATATGGGAACATAGCTTTAAAAGCACATAGTTCCAACGATATCTGAAGATGTGAACCAAGGAGGTCATTATGTTTCATGATTACTTAATGTCTTTTCAAATGAGGTCTGACAGAATAAGACATTTCACACAAGAAAGAAGGTTTTCATAAACTTCATAGAAGTCTCTAATTTCATTTGCCAGGGGCTGTGAATAAAAGAAGTATTAATACTAATTTTAGAATTTATATAGCACTTCTCATCTTAGGTGTAAGGAGACTTTGAAAGAGTAAAACCGTAACTATCTTCATTTTACAAACAGAATAAGAAGAAACAGTAAATGAAAGCTAAAAGGCTTTCCAAGAGTTACACAATGCGTCAGTGGCTGAATTAAGAATAAAACCCCTGCAGTTGCTCATCAGTGAGAACTGTATTCATTCCATTCAAGTCAGGCAAGTTACAGTGGTGCAAACCCACTGTGAGAGCTAAAAAAAAAACAATCATGCTTAAATCTTCTGACTACCAAGGCAGTGTTTCAGCAGGGCAGACAGCCATGTCGAATATACTCATCCTGGAAAATTTCAACATTTTGCTCATTGTCTGCCCAAGGAAACAGGATTGCCTTTGTAGATCTTTACAGGAGGGTTTTTATGATTCTTTTGTATAAAGCTATTGAGATTAGGAAGAAGGTTTTAAAAAAACCCCAAAACCCTAAGTGACAGAAAGGTTTGAAAAATCTACTTTATTTCATTACTTACTGTGATGTGCATGTGTTTTTTTTGGGGAAAAATCCTGCCTAAAGCACTGCCAACCTAAATATTTGAAAGACTGCATTTAAAAACTTAAAAAAGTATGCCACTGCAAACAAGTAAATTCATATAATAGGGTGTTAGAAACAAAAATATTGGATTAACTTATAGTTGTATAATTTAAAAAAAGCCAATGCAGATTATTACTGCTATCAAAAAAAAAAAACAACCCAATGTTAAAAATAACTATTTATAACTTATCATTTATTTTGAGATAATTCAGTTACATTATGTTCAATGACAGGTTTAGTCATTGAACAGTACCCCCAGAACTTGATGGTTTTATGCATGTTGGCCATTAAAAAAAACAGCTCTAAATTACCTCTTACCTGTCGAGCAGAAGGCACTCTACACATCTACCTTGCTTTTCTTTAGTCCTCCCTTGTGGGGTTTTCTCACGACAGCTTCCAGAAAGCACAGCTTTCCCCTTGCTATCTTTAGCACATTTATGTTCTTAGGAAGGCAAGCAGGCTCTCAGTGCAGGGATTTAGAGGCCTTTCCTGCTAATTGCCAGCTTGTAAACTTAATTGGACTGTCTCCCTGGGCACCGTTCCTAAATCAATTAGGCAGTGAGTTGGCTGTCACCTCTTTTTCCCAAGAAGGTTGCCTGGAAGCGCACCACCCAGGAGAAGTCAAGCATCCAAATGGGAAGATGTTGACCTCTACAGCTGAAAGTTATCACATTTTAAAATTCATTCTGTATAATTACTGTAAAATCTCTTCCAGGAGGAAGGCAAAGCTCTCTTTCTCTCCCTCTCTTCCTCTTTGTAGTCCACTGTGCAAAAATCTGCTGTTCTCTATTGCATCCTGGTTTTCAGCTTTACCCTCTTCTTCTCAGTTTTCCACACGACCAAGTTAATGCTGTGTTGATTAGTCAGTCCCTCTTCCCAACCTCAGTGGTTTTTAGTTCTCTGCTATTTAAGAAATAATGCAAATATAAATTATATGGAAAACTTAGGGATCCATGACAGCAAAACCCAGTCAGGCATTCAGGGCTGAAATAAAATCCATAATTAACTCATGGCTTGGAATTCTTTCCCATAAAAGTCTGTTAAAAAACTATGTCAGTGTGACTAGGCAAATATGTTTTTAACTTCCAACTGACATATGATTTTGGACAAGTTCTGTGAATTGTGCTGTCTAGCCAGATTTATTTCAGGAAAAGATTCCTATTAAATTCACCCTCAAACATGAATGGCAAATATTTTTGGAGTCCAATGCCAAACTCATTCTCAAAAGCACTGTGGCTTCTTGTCGTTGATGTCAACCCAGATCTTGGATAATGCAAACTTGGTACTGGTGCCAGTAGTTCAGCAAAAGACATTTAAAATATAATACTATATTTAATTAGCATACAAATAAGTATGTTCAACTTCACTTAGTGATTAATGTGAAGATTACTCAACTCATGTAATACTTTAAAAACACTAAACATTTAGGAAGAATAAAGTCTACCATAACAATTAGATACTATCACACATGCACAGGTTAAGTACAGGGCTATTACATATTATAATGGCTCTAATACATGCAAATGTAAAGTGAAATACAATAGACAACCATGTCTTTTCTTTAATGACTCTAAAAAAACCAAGTATTTCTCTGTTACAAAAAATAAATATATAAGCTTTTTTCGCCCAAACTTGTATATATGTTTCCCTCTACATTTTTTTCTTTTCCATTTCTTATTTTACATCACAAACAATGTATGCAACTACATTTATGAAAGTTTTCTGAGGTATGTTTTCTATATATCAGATCTGCTTTTCTCTGTTGTTAGATATTTCCCCCCAGCTTCAGTATCAGTAATGAAATTAAGCGTGTTCCCTTTATTTTTTTTTTTTTTTGCTTAAAATTGGTTTTGACAAACATTAGAATATAAATTGACAAAACCATGACATTATGTTTTTATTTAAAGTGAGGGGAATGGTAAATTTATTCTGGTCTCTCTTAAATACCTGGAGCAGTAGTGACAAAGAATGCCCTAACGCAGTGACCCAAAGCAAGCAACAGTTCCTAAAGTGCCATGTGTGCTCTATGTTGTGATCATTTGGCTAGTCAGAGACAATAAATAACATTACTATCTGCAGCTTTTCAGTCACATTTTCTGTTCAGAAGCCAAGATCTGCAAGTCAAGAAACATAAACAGTCTTTTAATTCTACTTTTCAGAGACAGAATGCTGTAGCTAAATCGTGCTTTCATGGAGTGAGCGGTGTATTGCTCAGGTTTTGCCCCATTATGGCAAGTTTGATTTTGGTTCCATGTGCAATTGTAATTCAAAGGTCTCTAGATGTTGACATCTTTCATGATATCCCCTCACAGAAGAAATGCTTCACTGGAGAGAATCTTGCCAAGATAGAAGTTCTAGAGCAATTTCAATACAGAGAGTAAATGAGTAACTTGCTGCTGTAAATTTGTATGTTTGTGTGACACAAATGCTATTTTTTAGTGTCGCCAGTAGTGTTTCCTGCAGGAGGGAGGTTCTATGAATATTCGCTTATTTTCTCCAATGTAATAATGGTAATCTGGGAATAAGGTTTTCCTACCATGTTTTAAACAAACTTCTTTGTATGATTCTGTCACGAGTGGATACTGGCTGTGTTCACTCAGCCTCGATCTGTGAAGGTCACTGATGTTTTTTCTGCTGTCCAAAGCAACCTCAGTATAGATATGCTAACATGATAAGGAGCATTCTGACATAAAAGTTTAATAATGAAATCTGTTAAACTTTCTAATTTTAGCTGACAGCAATTATTTTTAACTGTGCTGAAAAGTAGTCATCTATGTTTTTTATAACGCTATCTTTGGTTTTAATATTTCTTGTAAAAGGTGTGTTCACAAGAGGGCAGCTGGGCCTTGTGGAAATCATCCACCAGTATATTCGTTACGATGAGATACATGAGGCAATTAATGTCCTGAACACCATGAACTGGAACACAATGGGTCGTCAGTGCTACATATGCTTGAGTGCCATTGTTAATCACCTTCTCAAACAAAAGCTTACACCAGACAGAGAAGGTAAGACACTGATTATATTTTTAATGTATTTTTGTGGTGTCTTTGTCATTCATATGTGGATTATAACAATATGTTTATTGGCTGTATAAAGAAGATAATAGTGAGAATCCAGTCAGCCAGAATATGGTACTTCAGAACCAAATGTAATATGTAGACAAGTCATTTCAATAAAATCTGGATTAGTGTGTTGATCACATTTTAGTTTGTGTCAATAGTGATAATAAAAATAGATATCAATATGTATATGGTATAGGCGTTAATATATAACACTATCATAAATATACTGTAACTTTTTTACATAAATTTAGCTTATTTACAAGCTAATACTGGTTAATATTGGGATTGAAATGTTTGTTACATAGTCATGCTGAGACAGCACCAACTTAAGGAGGGGCATTTTCCTGCAACAGGGAAAAGAGATTTTGGTATGGGTTTTAAGGTGCTTTTGAAGGGTCATTCTTTCATTACAAGATCCAAAGGCTTTGAATACACTATCCTCTGCTGCCTCCTTTAGGATTATAGCATTTGTCCTTGCTGTAATCTTCTGGCCCCCTGCAGTAGTAGCTGGGGTCCCTCACAAGAAGTGATGAATTTTAGGTTCAGCCTTGTCTCTGCAGAAGCCTGGTGCGATGCCTTACTCTTGATTTGCTGTCTATCTTGAAACTCAATAGACTTCAAGATTTGAAGTGCCTTGATTTAGTGAAGGTGTTATCCTCCAGCATAGCAGGCAGACAGCTGGGGACCAGGCATCTTTTGTGGCAAGAAAGAATACTTAGTATTCTGGTGTGTTTGATGATAGAAAAACTCGGAGGTGTCCTACATTGCTGCCAAGTCATCAGCTATCACATTTTGGGGGATATTAAAAAAAAATCTCTGTGTTGCAAACATAGCGTATCAATTCTAAATAAAACATGCTTTTCAAAAGACCCATGAAAAGAGCTGGTTTTGAAACTCTCGTAAAAATATGCACATTATAAATAGCTGTCTGTGTGTTTTCCCCCATGCAGCTCCTTAACACTGTTTACAGCAGACAGAATTATATTCTGTCCGGGAGTTATTCTGTGTGAAACTAACAAATTTGGCATGGTAATTTGTTTTCTTTTTTATTAGCAAAACCTGGTGGGGCCTTTTATTTATAGCAATGGGGCAGTTATCTTTGAGATCTTTATTCTGCCTTCAACATCAAGCTGGGCAATCTAATGAATCTGTAACTGTGCTAGTAGTTACTCATATTCCATATAGGATGTAATATTTCAGAAGTACAAAACATGCTGTCAAAAAACCAGCAATGGTAATAGAGTATGGGTGGTTGTTTCACCATTTTTTAGAAAAAGGTACTGCTGTACTCAATTTTAATCTAAATTGACTGCTGCTTCAAAAGAAAATAGCTTTAAACTTCAACTTGCTGTCTAGATTGAGGATAATGGAAAACCTAATTTACTAACAGTTTGCTGTGTTACTGACACAGTACTATGAGCACATTTAGTGATATCAAGCCTAATAAAATAAAATGTAACTATGCTTGTAAAGAAAGAACCATTATCACTAAATACAGAAATGGCTAGTTTAAACAAATGTTAATAATAGCAAATCAGTGATATTTTTGTCTGCCTAATAAGACAATGGGCTATATTTTGCTTTTCAGGCCTCCACAAAATTGTGATTAGCAGTAGCAGTTTTCACATGCACTCCAAAAGGAGAAGCTCTACAGCAAATACATAGCACATTCTCCCCCTTCTGCCTATTAGGACTTGTACTATATGTTAACTCTCAAGCAAAAGTCACATAACATAAATATTATTGATCATTAGATTTCCTTTCAGTTAAGCATCTGGAACACACATATACTGTGTATTCTCTTGTATTATTTATAATGTTTTATTAAAAACATGCAGGAAAACGCCTCAGAGCTCCAGCTGTGGAATATAGTTGTTAGAACATAGCTAAAGCAGACAGAACTTCAGTAACAAAGGGGGTTTATTTTATTGATTACAAGGGATGTTATCCTGTTTCCCACCATTACACGCTGTAGGAGAGTCAAACCCTTAGGGTTTCTAGACCCTTTTATTTTAATTTTTAAGAACTGTGGGCTGGAGGAGGTTCCTTAGGCCTCAAGGCCATCACAAGAAGGGTTCTGTTACCTGCTGACCTAACAGAATAATCCCTGAGAATCTAAACTTCCTTGTTGTTTGCCTAGGAGGACAAAGACAATTTGAGCTAATTGAGAGTTGATCTCCACTGGACAAACTTGTTCAAACTTTATTACTCTTATGAGTTGCTTTTAATTGTATGCTGCTGGTGAGAACTTGATGTATTATAGACTTCATTCTTTTTTGACAGTTTTTGTTGCTCAAAGTCATTGTCAACCCAGCCTCAAAGTGAAAGTTTATATGCACGTTTGTGTTTGTACAGTCTGTCATATTTTGATTTCATCTGTCCTACCTCACATTTCACCAGTGTTTGAGGAATTTGACTGACTGCAAACATGAGCAACCTGTTGTAACAGAAACAGTTTCACTTGTTTCACTGGTGCTGTGTTTGAACTCCACAGCACAGCTTGAGGCAAGCCTTGGAACCTTTTATGCTTCAACAAGACCCCTCTTGGATACAACCGTGCTGGAGTACAGAGACCCAATCAGCAGATACGCAAGAAGGTTCTTCCACCACCTGCTCAGGTGAATGACAGTTTCAAGTCATTGCCTATTTCAATATCTACCTACTTTAATGTGGTTAACATTTTCCAAGAGGACCACCCCTGAAAAAAATGCATTCTGTATTACTGTTTAACTTGCACTTCGTTCCTTTCAAATAGAGTATTGCAGATAAAATGCTATTTAGAGCTCTCCTATCATCAATACATTTAATATGAATCACCCTTTCCCTTTTAGCTTGATGGAAAAAAGATAACATGCTTCTGAGAGATTTATATTTACCAATTGCTTGCAGATTAACTATTTAAACAGCTTACAAACTTGGAGAAAATAAAGTATTTAAATAGATGCCAAAAGATAAATGGACAGTGCATGGTCCAAGATGTTTTTCCCGTTGCACCATTGAAATCAGAGCATTTTGTTATTCTCACTCTCATAGTTCTCATACAGAAATTCGTATTCCAGCAATTTTCAGGGAATTTTCAGTGCCCTTAAAAATAAGAGGAGAAAATGAAACATTGAATTTGTCTGTAAATTACATGAATTAGAAGAGTCATAATACCAGATTCAGCTAGAATTTATAGTACATTGGTTTATTGCTGTATTTTCCTTCAAAATAAATCAGTAGCCTAAATTTCAATCATCCATAACTATCAATATGCAGCAGTTTAACCTGTTCATGTGTTCAACCACAAATTTAGCTGAAACATTCCCTTTGAGAATTATTCAGTGGTTGGAAATAAAGAGAATTTACCTTCTGAGTGACAGAAAGTTTGCGATACATTTTGTTGTGCAGGAGTATAGATAGACATAGTGAGAAGACTTACAATGCACCCTTTTTTGATGATTCATCCAGTGTATATATACATCATCTGCATAGGCAAAGCTAGGGACTGCAAGTTACTTTGATAGTACAGTGTGTGCCTCTTTCAAAGCTTAAAGAAAAATATTTTATACCGTCTTCTATAATTTGAGTCTGAATGGGATCATCTTTTTGGTAAAAGGGTCTATTTCCATTCCAATGGGGAAATTATTCTAAGCAGAAGAATGCTCCAAATATCTGCATAATATGCACCAGCCTTTCACTAGAGCTAAAAGGTGTGGCCACAACAGTGGGTTCAAGCTCCTTTGCTTTTTCCTTTCTCCTAGAAACCAGCAGGGAACATCTGTTGATGCAATGGCCAACTGTAGTGACTGTGGGCCAGTTGCCTGCAGAGGACAGATGTGGAAAGAATGCCTCAGAGATTGCTGAGAGGTGTTAACTATAGTGCTCTTGCATCTGCAAGAGAAAGGTGTATTCCCTGTGACTCAGGATTTGCTTCCAAATGCTAGCAGGCATGCAGAGGCATGGGGCCCTGGCTAAGCTTTCAGCCCTTGGGGCAGCTGAACACAGCTGAAACACTGACTCAATCACCCTAGCAAACAAGAAGCTTCAGCGTCAGAATGCTGCCTGGACAGAGTGGGGCACGGACAGGAGGTTTATAGGAGAGTCTCTCCGTGTCTTTTACCTACACTATAGAGCAGCCCTTGAACAACCTATGGTTGTGGCAGTTTTTGGAACAAATGTGTGTTATTTTGCTGTTTCCCTATTGTCAAAGGGATTTGTGTTTGACTGAATCAAAGTGATAGGATCATGTGATTGCTGCAGAACAGATGGTAATGCTTAAAGCTTATCTGAGAAGACATAATCTAAGTACAAAATGGAATGTTCAAAAGTGGGAGATTTATCTGATAGAAAGCAAGGAAATTATGTTCAGAGCTGATCTTTAGTGCATTAAAGTGGCTGTGCCTTAATTGGTGTTTATTTCCTTTCAGATGTTTTCTTAAGTGACTAGAATGATTTGAATGTAGGCTAAACAGAGAGTACTACATTTGTTGGAAGAAGAATGGTAGTCCATGGTTCTGGGTGAGAGAATGCAATCTAAGTACGATGCAGTGTCTAGGAGAATCATAGGGAGGCACAATGCTTACTAATTCAGGCATGTGAAAGTTGCAGCCACTATTATATTGTCTGTGAGGAGCCAGCAAGGCAAGCCACTTCTGCCAGCTTGCATTTACAATTGTAGGTTCAGGACACAAAGAGAAGTGAGGAGAGAATTAGTCTCTTGCCTTTTCAGGTCACCATATTATGCCCATGAGGACACTGAAAATGTAGTATTCCTCCCACTACCTGTTTGTCAGAAACCAACAACTATGTCTGGGTGTCAGGAAGACCACATTTTAAGTCAGTTATACAATCTTGTTATACTATCTTGTTATACTATATTGATTTATTCAGTTTTTTACCCTTATTCGTTTAGCACTAAATACTTGACTAATTACAAATAGTTAATGAATCTCTTCAGGGTGAATTTTTGTTACCGGAGATGTGCCTGCATGACCAAACAAGAGACGTGAATGCAGCAGCACTCTAAACTGTGATGGAGCACTAGGGGACATTTGTTACTGTCTTGCGAGCATGAGGAGACAAAAGCAAAGTCATCACTTTGTACCCTGTTCAAACAAGAAGTAGAGGAAACATAGCATTTCTTAAATTATGTGCACTATGACCGATATTCAGAAAGTATTTGTTGGAATAGAGTAAGGTCTTCCATAATTCATTTGGGCTTCAGAGAAAGCAAGCAGCAGATGCACAGAAGTTATATCTAGAGGATAAAGAGCTAAAACACACAGGGAGAAACTCAGAAATGGAGTAGGAAGAGTGAGTAAAGTGGGGTTAGGAGCAGGAGTAGAAGACATGAAATTGGAGACAAACGCCTAAAGGCAGGGATAGGGACTTACAGAGTCCTGCAAAAGGGCAGAGTGAGAATGTGGAGTGAAATGTGGGAAGACATCTTAGGACGTGTGTGGTGAGCTATATATAGGAGAACAGACACATAAGGGATGGACAGGGAAGGGTGAAGTCTTTCCTACACATTAAAACATTAAAACACTTAAATGTTTCTAGATCTAAATCTGAAAAATGTTCATATAAACAAAAGTTTTTGCCCTCCCCCTGGCTTTCCTTTGAATGCCCCACCAATCTGCCTTAAGCCTTTTCTAGAAGGACCTACTCTTGAGAGAGAAATATTAATTCATTCTACATGCTGAGACAATCTTTGACCTGCCTGCTGAGTCTGCCAGAAAGGTGCCAGTTATTGTTGTACTTTTAAAGATGTGAGTGTCTGTATTTACTAGAATTGAGAAATACAGTTGCCCTTTCAGAAAGGCTATCCTCACCTAGTAATAATCATGTGCCAATGATTTTAATCTTTACTGTAGGCTGAAAGGTTGTATATCCAGTTGCAAATAACTGGAGACATCCATTTTCACACTGAGATTACAGGCTAACTACTTTTCTACCATCAAAGAGATCTGTTTCTAGAAAACACTGAATGCTGTGATAGTAGGTCCCTTATTTAGGTGTTGGGCACTTTAGAAAGAAGATGCTTCATCATTACTGGCTGTATTGCAAGTATGGGTTAGAATATGGTGCTGCAACCTGAGGTGGGCCAAGGAACACTGACAGCACGGTTGAAACGGATTGCAATTAGAAGCAAGGATAATTCCTTGCAGTGCATTTGACGCAGCCATTCTATTTGTATCCATCATTACAAAAGCTAAGTTCTTAAATTTGCAAGTCATGCAGCATCTTCAGCTTCCACTAAAATCGAAGCTTAGAGCTTTGCAGGTATAGGCCCTGAATGTAAAATATGGAATACCTCCAAAACCAGGCGTTCAGTATACAAAATTAAAATTAAAGGCCTCTTAATTATATGTTGAAGATCCATTACAACAGTATTTATGGAATGGATAATTATTTTCACTTTAAATTCTTATCTATAATTAAAAAATACAAGAACTGAATTACAAGTATAGAAATGTATCTTAGGTGTTCCTTGCCACTTCAGTAGCACTCAGGTATTTTATTATGATGTCACTGCTTATAATAATATAATGCAATGCATTATATCATTATGTAAAATGTTGAGCAGAGGTGGATTTATTAGGAAGCCTTGGAGAGCTGGAACCTTCTTACCCCCACCCTTTTGCTGAGCACTGCCTACTAAGTGTGTTTGTGTAATGGAGGAGTGACTGCGCAACCTCCTGCCTCTCTATAACAGCCTCATCTAGCCATGTACAGAACATGGAATGGGATGGAATAGCTTTTCACTCGTTAACTATGGCATCGCTGACTCATGGCTTTGCTTCACTCTGATCAAGCATTCGTAAATTGTACTTGTCATATTTTCTAATGCATGAAATTATCTTGTTTGTTTGACACACATGCACAGGCACAAACACACGCCTGCTCTGTTTTGTTCAAATTTTTCTGTCTCAGAGAGACAGTGAGAAAGTAACATAGCATGAGGTGGAGGTAAAGGCTGGGTTGGAAAGTAAAACCTGAAATGCAGCTCAGGTTTTTTATGTAGAATCAGAATGCAGTCACAGCCCTGTGTTTCTGCTGTGCCCTTTCATAGAATCATAAATCACAGAATGGTTTGGTTTGGAAGGGACCTTAAAGCTCATCCAGTTCCACTCCCCTGCCATGGGCAGGGACACCTTCCACTAGACCAGGTTGTTCAAAGCTACATCCAAACTGGCTTTGAACACTTCCAGAAATGGGACAGCCACAGGTTCTCTGGACAATCTGTGCCAGTGTCTCACCACTCTCATAGTGATGAATTTTTCCTGATATCTAATCTAAATTTAGCCTTTTTCAGCTTAAAACCATTCCCCCTTGTCGTGCCACTTCCCTCCCTTCTAATTCTGTTCTTGTGTTTGTGAATACACAGTTTAAGGATCTTTTTGCCTTTTTTTTTTTTTTAAGCATGGAAAAATACTAAGATTCAAAATCATTTGGACTTTTCCATCCAATAATATAGTTAAGAGAATGTCATTGGGTTTTTTCCCATAGGACAAACATGTTTCTCTACAATGCAAAGCACTGTTGTAAATAACTAGATAGTGCATTTGCTTCTTTCAAGAGCAGAGTGCATCCTTGATCACTTTCAGTGCTAAAATTTTAAGTGGATTAAGGAATG